TTTAGTCGCGGATATATATATATATATATTTCCGCGACTAAAATCTCACGAACTGCTCCACTCCTCTAAATCTGTTTGGTTGCATGAAGGTTGGGGAGACGTTGGCAATTGTTCACGAGGGTTGGTCGATTACAAAACAGTTAATCGCCAAAAAATACTCAGAGATAAATGGAAACAGGAAGAATAGATGCAGGCTACCGCATCGCATCGGACTGAGGTAAAGCTGTTCAGCGAATCATGTCGCATCATTATCCATCAAGAAGTGCACAAAGGAGATACTATCTCACCATTTTTGAAGTCACTCTTCAGCCGGCTAAACTGGTGCAAATGCATCAGTATCGATAAAGAGCAGCTTATTGGTTATTTTCGGAAAACTGCATCGTCCTCACGCAAAACAGGATGGAGCTCCAACAGAAGATACAGTAGTTGCACGAAGAATCTTTCACCATCGGTTTAGAAGTGAATTTCTCCAAGATAAAATGGATGCAAAACGAGCACTGCCTCGATGACTCCATTTAGAATAGAGGTGAAAAACTCGAAAAAGTCAACAGCAATGTATACCTTGGCCGTCAGATAGACTTGCTAGACGGATAAATCAGCAGAAGAAAGAAGACAGTGTAGGCGAGCTTTAATAGTATTAAAACAATTATTCTGGAATGAGCTGCCTTTACAGGTGAAGAAAGAACTGTTCGATTCAACAGTTCCCGCACTCTAAGATTTACGACACTGAATGTTCGTTTGCAACTAAAGCCGTGGAGAATAAACTGATGACCATGCAAAGAGCAATGGAGCGAAATAATACGCAAGGTGTCTCCCCAGGGAGCAAGTTTCAAGCGCACAAAGTCGACAACGGACAGAATTAACTGAAGTAATTTTTGTGTTATACATCGAGAAGATGGACCGGGAGCCCGTCTTGACTGAGAGACAATCTGTGGACTTAAGAATTACAAACTGGGTTTCATTAGACCCCCAATGTCGAGTCTCTCGTCCCAGAAAGTGTCATGCCAAGGCAAAAGTGTAAGAAGTTAACACTCTCGCTAGAGGCTCCGTATTAGATAGCTGCGATCTGAAGCGACTTTCAACAAAAGTGTTTTCCCTATTGCATTGGTGATCATCATGACACTATCGCAGTTAAAATCATGACCACTTTCTAAGGCATGAGTGGCAGATCATAAATGATCGGCGCTTGAATCTAATGGCATCCCAGTGCTTACCTGTCCAGATCTAAGCGACAAAAAATTCTTGCTTGAATAAATGCCGCTGCAACAGCTATCCGTTTTGCGGATCACAATTCTGATGTTCATTCTGTGGCAGAAATCAATTTCACCTAAAATAAGTTTCATAATACGCTAAACCTATAGAGAAAGACATGAAAATAATGTTGATGTTGTCATGCCCGCGATAAGGAACGATGTCGTTTCGGTCAAATCTTTGGTTCTCTAAGTAAAGACATTTGTTTTTCCTTCCTGCTAGCGATGCAGTTAAAAAAACAACTGTTTTCAATGTCCCTGACACGATATGAGTATCATCCATCGAGAAACTAGTATTCACTGGGTTTTTACGATATTCATTGAAAAACAGTATTTAAGTATTGCAATCATTTCAGTAATAAATTTCTTTCTACAATTTTTGGATGCACCCTGAATCAGCAAGGACATATGGCATTCGAAAATGGCAGCTGTTAAAAAATCGCTAAATACAGGAGACGAACAGAGTTTGCCTCTGCATTTATGGCAACAGAAACGTACCGAACTTCGAAGCCTCAAACTATTACCTGTAGTGTTTGTATTCGGCATTCGGTAGGCGCTAGCGAAATACCGTATACTTTGATTGGGCGAATGCAAAAGCAAGCGACGTTTCGCTTGCGTGAAAAATAGTGAACCTGGTCGTGCAAACCGCAATGGTTGCAAGCC